TGGCTTGTTTTACAACGTCGTTGCCAAGCGACGAAAACCCAACCCCGATGGCAAACACCGGGGTCGATCACTCCACGACGAAGAGGATGACGAAATTGTAAGTAAACGTTGTCGGAAAGCTCTCAACGAGGGGGTCCCAACGCCGCCAGTTTTCGGCACCGTCAATGCTAGTGCTGCCGAGATATCGCGCTTTGAAAATCGGTCCAGGGAGGGGGGGGGGTGTACTAATAGTCGTGCATGCCGTAGTCGTTAGACCATTGACCTCGCATCCCTACAACCTTACTTTTTGTTTTTTCCACACCACTACTTTTGACCTATGATTATTATTTAGTAAGCAGTATGTCACGACACGACCGCCATCATCCTCTATAACATCATATCGGCCATTTTACAAGTGCCGACAAAAAATAAATTTTCTCAAAAAAAGTTTTTCTCTCGATCACCAGATTTGAGTCAAGGTTGGTGCGGCAGCTGGCACAGCGATGGTGGACAGAGCGTCACGTGTGAGCGGGGCACGAGTGGGGAAAGAGCATACAGTAGCGTTCCCAGCGTATCAATGTATCATAGCACTCCTGCACTTCACGATCAGGCACCAGGGTGTAGTGCCCCCCCCGACCGGTCATCTCCAGGTCGCCCGCGTCGACAGAGACACGGGTGCAGCAGCGGTCGTGGCCCGTTGCCTCCGTGAACTTGTCGCCGTAGACGAGAACGTGCTTGAGGCCCACCCCGCCGTCGGGCATCGTTCGTACTGCCGGCCAGAGCACCGGCTCCGCACAAGCGACCGCAGCGGTGATGTTGTCGTCTCGTCTGTCGTCCGTTGACGTCTTCTCCCGATCACGCGCGTCGCGGACCTTCACCATCACCACGGTTTCGACTTTTTCCGGGCTGTGATCACGAGGTTCGAGGGCGGTGAAGGGGGGGCGCATAGAGAGGGCGCGATCAGTATGGTACGCTTCTCTTCCCACGGCTGACAAACAAACTATTTTCTTCCGGCTCGTTGGGTGCAGGGGGGTGCAAGGTACAACAAAGCGATGGCCAACGAAAACGCAAAATATAAAAATTTAGGTTGGCAAAATAACAGCGCAGGGGACGAGCACAAGAATCGAGGCCACAACCGAACTGCTGCCCCTAACTTCCCTGTTGCGCAAGAACGCGTTTTTGATTATTTTCGTGCTTGCTGATGAAACGGCATCGCTGGCGCTACGAGTATGGCACCCTGCATGAGCACACCGAAAAATACCCCTTTGACCGAAAGCACCAACTCGCAAAAAAATAATAGACAGCCCGTTTTTTCGTCCACTTTAACTGCTGTCTCGTATTCGGGGGTCGCATCTACAGCATATTATACACGATGTGACGCGTTCGCATAAAGAAACAGACTAGGCTGGAGCCTGCGCTTTTCGGACAAGTTTATTCAGCATTTTTGCCGGGCATACTCGACACTGTACTCTCTCATTGGCGCTCGTCCCGCCCTTCGCCGCGTACTACCCAACCAGGTACCGGCTCCGCCGCCTTTCCACACCACTTACATGGACATCAAGCGACGCATGACGAACATCTTCTCCGTGTACAACCTCCTTGCTTGTACAACGTCCGGTCGGTTGTGGCCGTCGACGTACACGCACTTGCCGTGTCGCCGCCACCTGAATCCGAGCTGGGCGATCCAGACGTGCGCTGTGCTGCGGCAAATGCCCCCACCGCCGGCGAACTCCTCCTTAAGGCACACGGTGTTTACCCACCTGACGCGCAGCACCAAAGGGAGGGAGGCAGGGATTGTTTCAGAGAAACAAGAGCCGTAAAAAATACCCGCGCTGTTGCATGTCTTAGAGAGAGAAAACATGCGCAGAGCGTTTCCCGCACCAAAACCAAACCTGCACTCTCCGTTCCTCGCTGCAACAACCTCACCTTTGAAAGTCGGCGACCCGAAAGCGAGGTTGCCCCTTCTTCCGACGGTAAATCCGCTCGTCGACGTATTCCCGGCACTGTTCTCTGATATCCTCGTCGTCGATATAGCAGAAGGGCTGCCGCTTCACGTACTCTCGATGGGGAACAACGAACTTGCCGTCCTTGCAGAAATCCGTCACCCACTTCCGGACGGTCCGGGCGTGGACACCCACGGCCTCCCCGACGGCGCGGCTGTGCGCTAGCTTCTTCACCCCCTCGTTTATCCTGCCAAGGTACAGTCGGCACAGCACAAAGGTAACTACAAACATAGGCGCTCTTGTACAACCAAGCTAAAATGCACATCGACAACGGCAGCGGTCATGACAACTGGGGCAGCAGCATGCGCCTACTGTTGGCATACTTTGCATAGATTGCAAAAGAAAAAGACGCAGGTATACGTCGAGGGGACGGGGGGGGGGGGAACAATGAAGACGTCCTTCTGCAACTAATGTCGAATAAGAAAAGGCTCAAGCTCGGAAAGCATGTTTACCGTGATCTCACATTTTCCCACCAACATGGGGATGGACGGACGGGTGGAGGGTTGATGCTCTCAACAAACCAAGGGGCTCCCCTAAAGACTTGCACATTCTTCGAATTCAATTTGCGAACGGCGAGCATACACTCACTCCATGGTAAGGTACGTCCGGACGGCCCCGATCACCCGACAGACACGAACAGCACGAACTCGCGCCAGCATCGTGTCCGGTTTCTCCACCAGGCTCGTGTAGTCGTTGCCGGCCTGCACAGCGGCATACATACACAAGTGCAATGCGAAAGAAGTCGTTTGATGTGCCGCTTAGACAGAAACATGACAGTCGCTATTCACCCGTGTACACAGCACCAGCACCCAGCAGAGGTCCATAGACAGGTAATGGGCAAAGATGCATATTACTGTGACGTGTGTAGGGTACCCACGCCGTCCGCCGTAAAATACAGCAATCACACACAAACAGACAAACGCACACAAACACGCACGAACAACACACCTGGTCTATTTTGTCCAGCGCCTGGCGGAATATCCTGACAAGCTCCTCCTTGCGCTCCGAGCAATGCTTGCGTGTCCTCCTCGCTTGGCGTGCAAGCTGCTGCTTCGTCCACAACTGTCCTACTAGCCGGACTCTCGCCTTTCGGTGTACACGCTTAGCTTTGGCAGTCTCGCGTTTCAACCTCAACAGCGGGTTCTGGACCTCATCCCGCAGCAGCTTGCGCACTCCCCGCCCGGACCCACTTCCCCCGACGCGGTCAGCGCTGGCGCGTCTTGGGGGAAAATACTCCTTCCTGGACGTTTCCCTCGAGCTCCGTCGAACAGCGGTGGCCGGTTGTCGGGCGGTTTTGGCGGCTGCACTGCAGCCGCCGATAGCTGGTGCTCCGCTTGCTCCTCCAAGTTCAACATCGCCACCGAACCCGCAATCGCCCTGTTCCCGCCTGTTCCCCATCGCTGCTGCTGCACTGCTACCCCGGGGCTCAACGTCGCCGTCGCGCCCGGCGTCGCTGTCTTGGTCGCTGTCTCGGTCGCTGTCGAGCGAACCATCGCTCCGGTCAGACGGGTAGTCGTGTCCGTCGAGAAACCCTCCGCACGAAAAGTACCCATCGTCGCAGTGTTCCTCCACAGCTCCTTGCGCTTCTGCTTGCTCGCCCTCACCGACCCACTCCTGCAATGGTAGATCCACACCATCTTCAACAAGCATGTCGGTTTCGCTGCAGCTATCGCTGTTGCTATCGCGGCCGCCGTCGCTGCCTGGCTCAGCGGTGCACGCAGCAGCAGGCACCGCACTGCTGTCGTCCTCTTCAAGCAGTGGTTCCGCCGCACGTTGCGTCTCCGAACTTTGAGGTAATGACTGCTGTGACTGCTGCTCCGCTCCACGCGTCAGCCAGCCGGCCATATAGCTCGCCATCTGACGTTTCGCAGCCCCTAGCGCAACCTGTCTGCGACGGCTGAGAGTCTGCCGACAAGGTCCCTCCGCACGCCGAGGCGGCGCAACCTCGCGAACCCAAGACAGTGCGGCGCAAGCTGCTGGAGACTCACCGAGAGCAGCAGCGGACCCGAAAGACAGTGTGGCCTGACTTTCACCCGAGGCGGCACCGGCGTCTTCGTCGCACCAGGCTTCGTCGTGGTCGTCGTGTGGTTCGTCAACGACTTCCATCGGAGAAGATGTGCTGTCGTCCAATGGCTCGGGAGCAGCGACAGCTGGTTCATGGCTCTGAAATTTGCCTTTGAACCTGCCTCGCTTTGGTGGTCTGCCACGTTTCTTCTTCGTGTCCATGACTGCTGCGGGTGCTGAGTGCCGCAGTAGGGCGTATGGGCGAGGGCACACCCTCGCACAAGCGCTATGTGTGCGGGCGTGTGTGCGTGCGCGGCAGGAACAAATCGCCGCCCATCGGCAAAACAAAATGCCGAATATCTCGCGAACCAGATTTTTTTCGGGAAATCGGAAGAAATTCCATCTGGGGAATTTCGAGAGGAATCGATTGCCGTGGTCTTTTTGAAGCTCTATGGTTGAATGTTAATGGGAAAAAGTGAAAAAAATGGTCTCTCTAATCCAGTTTTTCGGCGATAACTTCGTCTATTTTTGCTGAAATCGAAATCGGAAAAAAATTCCACCTGGGGAATCGCGAGAGCTGGCCAGGAACGTCCCACATGCCCATCTCCATGAGCAGGGTGATGTGGCTGTCGAAAAAAAGTTGGGGCACTACAAACCCAACGCGAGAAGAGATCGGTTTGAACAGTCCGCCTCAAGGCGTCACTACCAGTACTACTAGACTACTGCTGTGAACAGCTGTTGTTGGCACATGCGACGTGTTCCTGTGAAGGCAGAATATTACAACACACCACATAACGAAGGGTTTCTCCCTGATATCTTTGTCGTTGACCCCGTAGGTAGAGAACAATACGGGGGAGATGTCCTGTGGTATATGTACCTATCAGTGATATTGTGATTAACACCTGCTGGCATCACAGATCGAAAACTTGCAGTGTATAGGCTTAAATACACTCAAAATACGCCCAGTACCCAGCCGGTTTCCCTCCATTCACTGTGAAGACTTTAACACATCCCGTTCGACTGTGGTCTTGTTACCTCGAATGGGTAGTCTTTCTGTGTTTGTATTTTTGTTTTCTAACATGCCAACACGTGATTAGCCAGGTTAAACGTCAGAAGAGAGAGCAGGTCGCACATTGCAACAGATCACAACGTCGATTTGTCTTGGTTAGGGAGAGAAAACAGGGTCGGAGGAAGGCCCCTGTCGACAGGATGATGTAATATAGGTCGAAGTGATTGATGTGGACAATTATTCCCCATGCATGCCGATGTCGAAGACGACTTCGAGGTATTACCTGTAACAGCACGTTGTTAGACGTGGTATCGCTAGGGGCGAAGAAGGAAGGGTTGCGTTGTTTGTAAACAACGGCGATTCATGCACGGGTCACCAGAAGCGCCTCCTTCAAAACGATGAAATAAGTGATGGTGATGCGCGTCTGTGCGAGACCCCCACACAGACTTCGTTCTCAGAACAAGTGGAGCCGGAGCGATGTTTTCAGTCAACTTTGCAGAGTTCAGCCTTTCATTTGCTTCTCTTGGGCTGGCGTCGCGGGAAGTAAAGACGTATGCCACACTTTCGGGAAGCTATTGCAAATCTGTACTTCGTCTTTCTTGTCACGAAAGAGACGTAGAAATAGAGAAAGTCAATTGTCACATTTACATTGTTTATTCCCACGGAAACCCGACTTGTTTCGTGAAGACAACAAAAGCTGTCTAAAAGTTCGGAGGAAATTCGTTGTCCAATACTGCGTGCGGCGTCCTCGTGTCTTCCAAACCTCGCAGGTGTTGCGAGTATCTTCGAGTGAGGATGGCGCGCTTTTTCACAGCCGGCGCGTGGCTGTTGCTCCTTTCCCTCACGGACCACGTTCGTGCCCAAGTCACAACTTGTACAACTGCGAACAATGAGGACGTGGGTGCCTTGAACAGTATCTCGTCGTTATCTACTACATATTGGCGTCGAGCAAAATCTTCGATCGTTAGGTGGAGTATTGGATCAGTACGGACATACGAAGGCACTGGGTAGAGAGAGATCGGAACGGTTTTTAATGTGAAGACAATAACAACAACAACAAGACCACGCGATTCATTCCGACGATAACGTTCTCACCATATCACGTTTTTTTCCTCCTGAAACAAACCCTGTTGTGCTCCGTCAGTGCTTCCCCGCCGCTAGGGATGTTACTGCTGGTTGTGCAACCTCATCAGCGATTGGCGATTGTGCAAGCGATGGACTAGGTGGAGCTCTCTGCTTTTCCAGGGAAACTGCCCCCACCGGAACGGTGAGAGCAGGTCAATGCGCGTGTCCAGGAAACCATAGCTAGGCAGACAGCAAGCAAGGGTCCACCGTCCGAACAGTCGGAATAACTTCCTCGTTGCAGCCTATATATCGCCCTTAATGCGGTTTTGCGTACGTTCATCGTACAATTAGCTCCTTCAGCAGGAACCTTGGGAACCTATTACTTTCCCCCTATGCGTGCTACAGAAAAACTACGACGTGCAGTCCACGTATGGCCTCCATGGTGTGCAGTGATGCACCATTCCCACCGTTCGTTTCGGACGTGGGGGCCATCAAGCGTCGAGAAACGACCTCTACAAAATGCTGCCCGTGTGTCCGATAAACGCGAAGAGTCCTTCCCGCTGTGTTGTACGGTGGACCCCTCACCACTGTGTCGTGAGGGTCCCGAAAAAGGCAATCACGTGGGTTTCTTGTTTACTGTTCCTGAAGACAGCGTTTCCGTTACTAGCTGGCTAGATGAAACACACACAGACGGCCCATGAATCTGCGAAGGTGGCTCCGAGTGTACACATACCTGGAGAGGACTTCGTTGGATGGAACCCGTCTACGCGTTTGCATGGTAGATCAAGGTCTTGAATGCCGCGGCGTAAAATGCGCATCCGGGCATCGATTCCAATACATGAGAGGCGGTGGATCCAAACAAGTGTAATTTAGAGCACCCGAATACCTGATGGTCTAGACTGACATATGTTTGGTAGGTCGACCACTTCTTCTGTCTTCTCGTGTGCTTTGCAGGCCTGTGAAGCAGCCGGCTGTGACTGTTTCATCGGCGTGTGCTTCGAACCAGGGTTATCCGCCACTTGTGGTAAGCAGTTGGTGGCGACAAGAAGAGATGCTCATTTAGAAGGCGACATTGATGATGTATGTGATCAATCCAAGCGCGATCGTCGTCTAGGTGTAATCGAATCTATGCGGGTCAGGATGATACAAAGGAACAGCGCTCTGCGAATGTTACGACAAGGTGTTGGCAAATGTGCTTGTCGGTTTCATCGCCTTCTGCACCCTGCTTGATCTGACGCTGTCCTCACGTCTGCTCCCCTCCCTCCCCGTCTGTGCCCACGTGCGCGGTGTGGACAACTATCCAGAGGCGTCTTTCTCCGGTAAGGATACACATGCAAATGCGTTCAACCTTGACGGTCATACCCACGGCCGAGCCCAGGGTAAATTAGCCAATTATCCGGGATACATCCAAAAGGGATGGCCCTCGGTGGATTTCTCCTCTGTTGTGGTGTCCAATGCCGGTTCAAGTGCTAGGTTATGGGCATTGGAGAGGTCGGAGAATGTCGAGCTACTGTACACGCTTCTGTATGTTGTGGTCACGAGTGCAGAATCGAACAAGTAGGATACGGTGACTGTGTGTTGAAACAAGTGACGCTAAAATACCACTGCCAACGATTGGTCTCAAATGTACCTGCGAAAATTACAGTCTGCCCGCCTGGTGACGCCGTCTGCGGAGACCCCCACATGCAAGGCCTTCGTGGTCAGAGAATCGACTGGTCTGGGGTTGACGGGGGCTGGTACTCCTTGATCAAGGACGACAACATCGATATCAACATCAACGTTCGCCTCACCGCTCCCCTGCCCGACGAGTTCCCCGACCGCCAGCTAATGACCAGCCTGGCTGTTCTGTCAAAGGGGCACTCTGTCGTCATCGAGGTAGAAAACCCTTACACCGTCGTCACGAACGGTTGTCCTGAGGGCGTTTCTCCCTGCCTTGCGAACGGAGGACTGCGCATCATCGTCGACAGCCAGCAAGTGGATGAGCTCCTTCGATTCTCCAGGCACGTACCGGTGGCAGACGGTGCCATGACTGTATCTTCATCCAACCTTCCGGTGGAGTGCCAGCAGTTCGGTGGTGACAGGATATGGGCCCGCATGTACCAGGACATGATCGAAGGCAGACGTGAGCTGCACGGCGATGAAAGTCTCGAAGAATGGATCCTGAAGTACGACCACGGCATGGCTGCTCCCGGCTGGTGCGCCAAGTACATCGCGGAGAACGACCTCGCCGACCTGCAATCCGACCATGCTATCTTCAAAATCCAGACGCCGACTGTTACGGTGCGCCTCAACGCTGGTGTCAACTACCAAGGCAACGGTGAGCTAAACTGGGATGGACGCGTCCTTCCTGACCTCGAGTTCTGGCAGATGGGCGTCGGGATGGACGGGCTGGACGTGGACAACCCGGCGTTGTCCGGTCTCCTCGGTGAAACGGCTCGCCCGGTTTACGACGAGAACGGACAAGTGGTAATGGAAGGGTTCGACGCTTTCCGTGGTACCATTGAGGACTACCGCGTATCCGACGCTTTAGATGTCCACTTTCCCCTCCTAGACGAGAAGGAGGAGGGCCACGAGTAGAATCTAAGAAAGAAAGCAAGAGCATTACCCTTTCCGGTGTCAACCGAAGGACACAGCTGGAAGTAACATACGAGGTAGATCGACCAGCGTATTCGCACGTCAGAACTAACTTCAAATTTTCACCGAGGGTCTTTTTGTAGTTGAGGATGTGGTGGTACGGATCTCTGCGTTTTTCCCTCGTCGAGTGTTCAATACAAGGAATGGGTGTGCAAAGCTCCCATTTGCTGCTTGTCGTGTCAGGTCAGTTGTACGTGTAGGGGAAGAGACTGCACTTCCTTGCTGCTGAAGGTACTGAACTTGTTGGTGAACTCGTGGCTTCTGGGGACAACATGTTTTATTGTTGAGACCTTGGACCAGGAGAACAGGTCAAAAGGTGAAGTGAGCAAGGGTGGGGAGCACCACCGCACCGCAGCACCGCAACCACCACCCGTGTCGCTCGACCAAAGCACAAAAGCAGAGCACAATGATGTCGGAACACAAAGACTCAAGAGACAGGGGCTAACGTACTTCACAACGTACCATGAATCCACTGACTGATGCACTATCCACAAGAAACACACTCGGGGTAATGCACCATCCACGAAGAACATTCCCACAAAACGTTCCTTGCTGTTTTGATATGTGGCTACTCAAGGATCTTCACCGCAGACAGTCCCGCAATGCAAACTGTCCGATCAAGTTGTTATGTCACTCTGTCGACACACACAGCAGCAACTATCACGAACACCTTCCCTTGGGCTATTGTCTAGACCAGATCAAATAAATAACAGAATAACAACAACCGAAATAAAACACATCTCTCTAGACTAGACTACTTCTCAGAAATCAAACGTAAGAGTTAAATTACGATGAACTTCAAAACGATCACTCGGCAGAGCCTTCGTCAGAATGTCCGCATGCTGTCCTCCGCCAGAGACATGTCTTATTTCCAACACTCCCTCCTCTGTCAAATTTCTGGGAAAGTGGTGTCTCACGTCAATGTGCTTACTGTTACACGAACTGAGTGAATTCTCAGCAAGTGCATTCACATCCTCGTTGTCCTCTCGTACCTGAACCTTATCGATTCTATCACTAGGCCTCAAGAACTCCAGCATTCCGTTGACAGAGCCTCTATTACACCGTCACCCATCGCAACATACTCTGCTTCAGTTGTTGAAAATGTGACACATTTGTGCGTCCTAGAAATCCAAGCAACAAGACAGTCAGCTCCAAGAACTAATGCTCCCGAAACTGATCTACGGTCAGTGGCCTTACTGGCGAAGTCTGCGTCTACGTACCCCAACGTGCCCACGTCTACCGTAGTGTCCTGCTTGTACTTCAATATTTAATGTGCCGTATCCAGAAGATGTTCAGAATCTTCTGGGCCGCCTCCCAGTGGCTTTTCTTTGCCTCGAGAGAGTGCCTCGCCACCGCCCGCACAGCATTTGAGATGTCGGTCCTCGTCTCGTGGCGATCCACATCAGGCTCCCCACCACCTCTCGGAACGGCGCATCCCCTGCCTCCTCCTCCTCCATCACGGGCCTGTAAACACTAGCAGGGGGAGCAGGGTCGATCTGGTGCGACAAATATTTATTTAATCTCTCGAGAACACTCCTGACGCGACGCTCTTGAGACATCACAATTTCTTGCCAGCCTCGCGGTCGCGACTAAATGCGCAACCATGAAAGAACTTGACCTCGCCAAAATTCTTCGTGTGAAAAGAGTCACCTAGCGCTTGCACAACTATCTTGGCAAGGCTCTCAATTCCTCCATACAGCAAGTCATCCACATGAATCGCGATCATACCCATCACCTCGTTTCTCATCATGAAACGCAGAACACAGGGGTCAGATAGAGATTGTTCGACACTAATCCTCTTCAGGTCCGACACAAAATCTCTTGAGAAATGTTCTACATGCCTGCCTCAGTCCATCCAAACTCTTGTCTAAGGGGAATGATGATCAGGCCGAAAAAATACGTAACTTTTTTTACCGAATGGTAACTTTTTTCACGGAACCGTAACTAGGGTTTCCGGTGATTCTTATCGGCAGAAGGCGCGAAGGCGCATTTTTTTTCAAAATTTAAGGAAAGCGCAAAGGCTCGACGTACACACACCGGTCCCGACCAGGCGAGAGACCCGAGGACTCCCACAACAGACGTGATAAACCCAAACCAAGAACAACAACGCCACTGCTATAAAAACCGCACTCGCCGATATTGAGTCACTGCTGGGAAAGGTTGGCGGATCGGAAAAGTCAGAGTGGTCCAAAAAAAAAGAGGAACACGCTTGCGAGACTGCTGAACACGACAGCAAAGCTTCTGGCCTCGCCCTCCACAAGGAAAAGACCGAGTCCCACGCCGAATTCTCGAAGAAAAATATGGAGGAGGAGGAAGAAAAAGAAAAGGGTTATCAGACGAGAGTTAGATTCCTGCGCAAAATGTTGGCCGGCATCGACAAGGAAAGGTTTGGCGACGAATAACACCCATATGCACTCCCGGAAAAGTGTTACCGTGCAATCGTCGAATTTTATGCATGCATGACGGGGGGGGGGGCGGGGGTTAGTTTGATTTTTATCGTTGGGCATGGTTGAGTCAACGTCTTCGTTTCGTCGCTGCATTGAGGATACGTGCGCCTCCGCAGAGACGTGTGGGTTGTTTGGTTGGTAACAACACTTTTAGAGGATGCCTTGCGGCAACAAAGGAGTATCAACGAAAAAATACGGTGGAGGAACGCCGAGACCGTTGTGGTTCACGGGCAAGTTGCTGTGCCTGTATTCAACGAACACGAGGGCGCGTTTTTTGTTTTTCTCGTCCTGCTGCAGGGCTTGCTTGCTGCAGGGTCGTAGCCTTCTATTTTTTTTGGGCCAGGGGGAGGTTTCATTTTTATAGTTGGGCATGGTTGAGTCGACGTCTTTGTCTTTTCGAAGCATCATTTTTTCAGGATACTACGTGCGCCTCCGCAGAGACGTGTAGGTTGTTTGGTTGGCAACAAAACTTTGAGAGGATGCCTTGCGGAAACAAACGAGTATCAAGGATAACATGGTTGAAGAACGCCGAAGACATTGCTGTCTTGCGGGTAACCTGCCGTGCCGGCAATCTGCGGACATGCATATCGTTTGGCGTTTTCCTATTTGCAAGACTTGTTCTTGCAACCCAATACTACGTTGGGTGTTGACGGCAACTCTGAGGCACGCTTGGGTTCCGCAAATTTGGACCCGTGCAATTTTTCCCGTCTCCGCGCATGCTCACTTGAAGCGCAGGAATGTGTTCGCGATGGGATTCGACAAGACCCCAATTTTTAGCGTGTGTGTGGGTCTCCATCAGGTCTGCAACCTGGAGCAATGTTTCACCCACGCGACGAATATTGAATGCAGGGATGCAGAGACATCATGAAAAGTTGTATCAACGACAACAACGTTTTCGGTTCACACGCTCCTAATTAGGAAAAAAAAAAAGTCGAACATGCCCACACTTTTAATGCCCTAGGTTAAACAAGCACCCTCCGAGCCCGCTTTCATCCGCACACGATGCATGTTAACCATAAAGTGTTGCCGGCATGAACAAACACATTACGAACCAAGTGTACCCGGACACATCTGGTCAGAACGCTCCACACCGACACCCACAAAACATGTCAGCGAGAATCAACATGTCACACATCACCCCCCCCACCTTTCCCCGGGATGCGCCGACACCCTAGCACTTAACACCCAAAACACGTTGTTCCAGCGCCTTCCGCCCTCTACATGAGGTACCTCCCTCCCGCACCCTTCCCTCCCGCGCCGCTATCCTTCCTTTCACGCGTCTCGTTATCCGGTGGAAACTAGCCTACTTCTGCCTCCATCCGCTCATCATGTAGCCCCTAACCCCCACCCCCCCTTTTTGTGTACCCACCACGGCCAGCATCGCATCCCCGCGCCCCCCCCCC